GCTGGAACCGGAACCACACCCCGCAAAGAGCATAAAACTACGAATAAGGGGGGCACGGGGCCCAGGAGCAGGTGTCCTAGCAGTCCGCGTTTGCGTGCGCGCGTGCGTGATCGTGCGCGCGTGTCTGAGCGTGCGCGTGTGTGCGAGCGTGCGCATGTGCTCGTTCGTGCGCGTTCGTGCGTGTGTGCGACTTCGTACGCGCGCGCGTAACCTCAGGCGTGAGCGCGAGCCCGAGCCCGAGCCAGACCCCGAACACGAGCGCGAGCTTGAGACTGAGCCCGAACCCGAGCCCCATCCTGAGCGCGGGAGCGCGCGCGCGTGAACACGCGTTTCCGATATGTTGGCATGCGCTCAACAATTTCACCACCAACAAAATTCACCCGATTGCAGTAACAATATTTGTTTTACGACAGAGCTCAGCGCGGCGCATTTTATGGCATTGCTTGGCGTTGCTTGGTATGGAGTGGTAGCGCGTGGCATTGCCTTGCATTGTTTCGCACTGCCTGGCATTGTGTGGCTTTGCTTTGCATGGGTGGGCTCTGCATTGCATTCATTGGCGTTGCGTGGCACTGCTTGGCATTGTTTTGCAATCGCAGGGGGCTCAAGGAACACGAACGGGGAATCCGAGGAACCGAAGCCAGGAACAAAGGCGGGGAACCGCAGGAACAAGATCGGTGAAGCCGATCAAGGAAGGAAGGAAGGAAGGAAGGAAATAAACAAGACAGGATGAGCGAAGGCCCTTGTAAGAAAACAAGTCCAGGGAACTCGTGGTGACACTCCTTGCAAGGAAACGAGACCAGGGAAACCCAGGAACATTGGGGCCCACCGCGCGGCACCCACAAGTTCTTCAGAAACAAGTAGGGATCGATCATAGCATTATGATTATCGCTACCAGTACGACAACAACAACCACTACTACTACCACTACTACTACTACTACTACTACTACTACTACTACCACTATAATTACTACTATTACTATTGCTGTTATTGCGATTACTACTACTAACAATTATTTTTACTACTACTACTACTACTATTGCTACTACGACGTCGACCACGACTACTACTACTATTACTACTACTACTACTACTACTACTACTACTACTACTACTACTACTACTAATGTTACTACTACGGCGGCTACTACTACTACTACTACTACTACTACTACTACTACTACTATTACTACTACCACTACCACTACTACTACTACTATTACGACTACTACTACTACCACCACTACTACTACTACTACTACTACTACTACTAGGACTACGACCACTACTTCTATTGTCACTAATACAATTTCTACTTTAAGGCTACTTCTACCACCATTCCCATGCTTACGACGACTACTACTACTACTACGACTACTACTACTACTACTACTACTACTATTACTACTACTACTACTACTACGACTGTAACTTTTACGACTACTACTACTAATAATAATAATACTACTACTACGACGACTACTACTACTACTGCTACTACTACTACTACTACTACTACTACGACTACAACTAGTACTACTAGTACTACTGCTATTTCTACCACGACCACTACTACTACTACGACTACTACTACTACTACTACTACTACTACTACTACTACTACTACTACTATGACTACGACTGCGACTGCGACTGCGACTACTACTAGTAGTAGTAGTAGTAGTACTACTACTACTACTACTACGAGTACTCCTAATACTACTATTGCTGCTTTTCTACTATCGCTACTACTGCTACTACGACGACTACTGCTACGACTATGGCTACTACGACCACGTTTACTATGACTATGACTACGACCTGGTTTACGCCTCTTAGCATTAATATTACTACAACTACTACTACTACTACTACTACTACTACTACTACTACTACTACTACTACTAGTACTACTACTACTACTACTACTACTACTGCTACTGCTACTTCTACTACTATTGCTACTCCCCACTCTATTCACTACGGCTATCAGCATTACTAATACTAGTAGTTCTTATTCGTATTAATACGAATAAAACTATCTACTACGATTACGACTACTACTACTACTACCTACTACTACTACTACTACTACTACTACTACTACTACTACTACTACTATTGCTACTACGACCTGGTTGGTTTACTACTAGTGTTATTATAGTACTACGAGCACTGGAACTACGATTACATGTACTACTCCTTTTGCACTTACCCTCACTACTCCTGTTACTAAGATTCGTATCACCACTTCTACAACTACTGCGACTACGAAGTATTATTACTACTACTAACCTCACTACTACTACTACTACTACTACTACTACTACTACTTCTACTACTTCTTCTTCTACGACTACGAATAGTACTACGACTACTACTGCGACTACTACTACGACGACTTCTATTACTACTACTATTAGCAGGGTGGTCACCACCATAACATATTCCGTGACACTACACATTACGAAGTACACTTGTTAACATTGCAACCCAGACAAATGCCATGCCGATCACAAAACGACCATGCTGTAATCAGAGTCAGGGGGCCGAGCGGTCATTCATTGTCCTTGGGTGCGTGGCTGAATTGGGGATCCGTGGTGAGGATTCTGCTTGTTGCGCTTATGTTGTTTGTTTGTTTCTTGTCTTCGTCCCACCCGCGACCCACCCGCGACCCATCCCGCGACCCGCCCCGCGACCCACCCCGCGACCCATCCCGCGACACACCCGCGACCCAACCCGCGACCCACCCGCCACCCATCCCGCGTTCCACCCGCGACCCACCCGCGACCCACCTGCGACCCACCCCGCGACCCATCCGCGACCCACCCCGCGACCCATCCGCGACCCACCCGCGACCCACCCTCGACCCACTTGAGACCCACCTGCGACCCATCCGCGACCCATCCGCGACCCACCCGCGACCCACCCGCGACCCAACATCGACCCACCCGCGACCCACCCGCGACCTACCCGCATTGGTTTAACGAAAAATCTGCGCCTGCGGCGGGCTCGTTGTACAATTTGTGGAACTTTGGCGCCTGCGGCGGGCTTCTCCAGAGTCTCGCAAACTGCCGACGCCCCCGCAGCCCTCTCACCCTTATCCGCATCTGCGGGGTGCTACGATTACGACTGTTGCAAACCAATACCAACATCTTGCTACCAGTCCTGGTATTGCTACCGGGATGAAGACTAAGACTAGTACTAACATCCAGTTGTTTCATCTGTGATACCAGATACGACTGTCAGTGCGACCGCGCTCCATGGGATACGACAAATCATGTGGAAACCTGCAGCTACTGCGAGAGTTCAACAGTGGTACGAGGAGACCACGGGAGACGCAGGAGACTACGGGAGGGTGAGGAGGGGGAGGAGAGACAGGAGACTACGGGGAGGAGGGAGAGGAGAGGGAGGAGGAGAAGGAGGAGGCGGAGGAGAAGGAGAAGGAGGAGGATGAGGATGAGGAGGAGGAGGAGAGGAGGAGGGAGGGGGAGGAGGGGGGGAGGAGGAGGGGGAGGAGGAGGAGGAGAAGGAGGAGGAGGCGGAGGAGAGGAGGAGGAGGGGGCGGAGGAGGCGGAGGAGGAGGAGGAGGGGGAGGAGGCGGAGGAGGGGGAGGGGGCGGAGGAGGCGGCGGAGGAGGAGGGGGAGGAGGAGGCGGGGGAGGAGCAGGAGCAGGAGGAGGAGGAGGAGGGGGAGGAGGAGGGGGAGGAGGCGGAGGAGGAGGAGGAGGAGGAGGGGGGGAGGAGGAGGAGGAGGATACGATGCTACTACGCTGGGCAGGCCACGGGGGACCCGCAGGAGGCCACGGGTGGCCACGGGGACCCGGGCGCCCGACCGCTCCCAGCTCTGCAGGCGAGCGGCTTCTGGGCACGGCCAGAGAGAAAAACACCCTGCCCACCAGAGTCCCTCCTCCTCTCTCTCTCCTCCTCTCCTCCTCTCCTCCTCCTCCTCCTCCTCCTCCTCCCTCCTACTCCTACTCCGCCTCCTGCTCTCCTCCGCCTCCTCTTGCTCCTCCTCCTCCTCGTCCTCCTCCTCCTCCTCCTCCTCCTCCTCCTCCTCCTCTAGGGGGCCGCATGCGAACCCTACCCCTGCCCCCCACGATTTCTGAGGGGGAGGGGTGGGGCTCACCTCGCTCGGGAGCTCCCGAGCGAAGTGAGCCCCACCCTCCCCTCAGAAATCGTGGGGGGTAGGGGTAGGGTTCGCATGTGGCCCCCTACCCTCTCGACAGAACCCCACGCTGCATTCCATGACGAGTGCCGCCGACGACCGCGGGAGACGGGCATGCTACAAGTGAGTCCACGCGCGCGTGCACGAGGCGAGGGCGGGGTTCCGGCCGAAGCCTTCGGAGGAGGCCTGCCAGGGGGCGCCTGCTGCTCCAGGGGTCCTCCACTCGGTTTCTGTTGGCGCTCTTCGTGCATACTGGCTCTACTGAAGCCTCAGAGTCACCACCCACCAAACCACCCCAACCCAACCCGAAGCCCTCAGTTCGCCCTCCATTTCAGGAACGTTGAAAAAAACACATGGAACCCGTACCCCCCCCCCCAACCCGAAATTAGGGTCAAATTCGGGTCTTCGGGTTGGGTTGGGGTGGTCTGGTAGGTAGTCACAGACGGGCGTCGATCCTTACCCAGGGCTCCTCGTGGCAGAAGTCTGACGCTACGAACCCTGCTTCGCGCGCATGGTTTAGGCTCCGCTGCCACGCGCTGCCTCGATGCACGATAGCCTCTGGCGCCACGAGGCGCGCGGGAAACAAGTTGCGTGCAACCGACTCGCTAGCCTCGAAGACAGACAAAACGGCATAAACATAAACTTTCGGCATACTTTAGTCCCCCCCCGCCGGCGCCTCCGCGTCGTCCCTGGCGCGTTCCGCGCGCCAGGGAGGGAGGTCCAGTGCGGATCCAAGAAACCGCGCGGAATTCCGAAAAGTTTATGTTTATGCAGCTTCATCTTCCTCCAGGGAAGTCCCTTCGCGCCACCCCCTTTTGGCGCACCGCCCGCAGGTGTCTACTGAGGGCTCGCGCCCTCCAGTGACGCGCGGCATCATCGCGCTCCTCTCTGGCTCTTGCCTCCTCTGTCTCTCCCCCTCCTCTGTCTGAGTGCCGAGCACGCCCGACGTTGACCGCGCGCTCGCTGGCGAGCTGCCAGATATATACACCTCCACGGCAGGGCCTCGCCGCACCGACGGGGTCGGCAGCGCCGATCGGGTGGGCCTTTTGAAGTCAGCCTGTTGGAGCTCAACCCGGCGAGCTGCAGCAGCAAGTCCTCGCCCTTCGTCCTCTCTCTTTTCGGGGGCGGAAAAGAGGGGGGTGCTGACTAGGGGGGTGGATATCATGGCGCGGGCCATGATATTTCCCAGATTTCATGGCGCCTCTTCTTGTTGCGTTACGTTCCTGGCCCCCCCGCTGTGCCGCGCACATGCCGCCGGTCATGATTTGCACCCCCCCCTCTTGGACACCCCCCTCTTTGCCGCCTCTTTCTCTCTCGGGTTCTCCCAGCCCTCGCCTGAGGACCCAGGCGGAGCTGCGCCGCAAGCAGAAGCGGCGATCTCGCAATTCGGCTCTCCGCACTCGGGCCCTCCAGGGCAGCCTCTGCGCTGGTGCTGCTTCCAACAGAGAAGAGCAGGAACGGCCGTTGTTCCAATCGCCAGCACATGATCGCCACCGATCTGACAGATGGTGGGCCTTCGAATTTCAGAGTCTTTTATTCTCGTCGTCTCCATGCGGTCCGGGTGTTGCCAGAGGTGACGTTGGCCTAGAGCGGCCCCAGGGAGGTCCAGCTGGCATCCAGACCACCCCTCACGAGGCCCAAAGGGCCTCAGGGGGTCCAAAATGGCGCGAAGCCGAAGCTTGGCATCGCTCGGACGTGTGCATTTTTTTCGGCGAGGACAATCGAGGAGCATCCTTGATCATTTCGCGAAAAAACCACGCACGAAACCGAACAAAAACACAGGAAATGGACGTCCGAGCGATGGCCAGGAAGGCGCCTCCAGCTCGGATCGCTTCTGGCAACTTCCGGATTGTGACGCTCGGAGAGTGGTCAAGCGGATATTTAGCGTGACGTTTTATGTCAAAGGTTTCGCCCCCTGCCGCCAGCCTCCGCATTGATGGACTCATGAATTCTTTACGCTTCGCGTATCCCCACCAGCCCATCTCAAAACAGCAACTCTTGCGAAGCATGCCGACAGTCGTGTTTGTCAGGCGTGTTTCCGCCTGCCCCCGCATATCTCCCCTGTTCCTCCTTCCTCCCGCCTCCTTGTACATCCTCCTTGTGGTGGGAGCGGGAGAAGGACGAGGCGGAGGAGGAGGGAGAGAAAGCGCTCCTCGTGGTGTGAGTCGTTCGGGGCCCTCGTCGTGGTGTGAGTCGTTCGGGCTCCTCGTGGTGTGAGTCGTTCGGGCGCCTCGTCCTGGTGTGAGTCGTTCGGGCCCCTCCTTCTGGTGTGAGTCGTTCGGGCTCTTCGTGGTGTGAGTCGTTCGGGCCCCTCGTCCTGGTGTGAGTCGTTCGGGCTCCTCGTGGCGTGAGGCGTTCGGGCACCTCGTCCCCTTTTGGGGCGTCTTGGGGGCCTCTTGGCGGCCCCAGGGGCTTCTGGGAGCGTCTTGGGTGCCTTGGGGGAGCCTCTTCGGGCCTCTTGGGAGCCTCTTGGAGGCCGTTTGGGGCGTCTTGGGGGCCTCTTGGCGGCCCCAGGGGCTTCCAGGAACGTCTTGGGTGCCTCGGGGGAGCCTCTTGGGGCCTCTTGGGGGCCTCTTGGGGGCATCTTGGGGGCCTCTTGGAGGCCTCTTGGGGGCCTCCTGGGGGAAGCTGTTTCCGGCATACTGGCTCACCTACCTGGCCTCCTTCACTAACACTTTTTTCTTCCACGCTCGTGGCGCCGAGCTTGGCAGAAATGGAGGGTACTAAAGGTAAGCGTTCGGGAACAGCAACAGGGTCAACTCCTCAGAAGCAAAAGGCAAAAGCAAACAACATGAAGGAGATCGCTGCTGTGGAGGTCGGAGATGGCAACGACGAACTGGAGGAGCCACCGAATTGGTTCAAACAATACGAAGCGCGGCAACTCAATATGATAAAGGACGAGATGAGCAGTGTCAAGGGCCTGATTGACCAAGCACGGATCGAGGCACAGGACGCTAGGAGGGCAGCGGAGGAGGTGTAAGAGAAAATGGAGGAGATCGAGATAGAAGTGGAAGGCATCCGGAACGACCTCGACGACGTGTACCTTAGCAAGGAGCAGATTGAGCAGCTCAACGAAACTAAGATTCAGGACGTGAGGAGCACCACGGATGCAACAGGAAAGAAAAAGAGGGGAAACGACGAGGAGGAGGAGGAGGTACAGGAGTTGGAGAAGGAGGCCTGCGCCAGGCAGATACTTGCATTCGGGTTTGAAGAGGAGACCGCTGCGAAGGTGGCGATACAGCATCTGGAACAAGTTCTCCACAAATTACTCGGCGACGGGACCCATGCGAAGGTGACGACGAACACGAACCCTACCAGGATGGGCATGATGGAGTTCCCTACTACTACGGCTAAGGTAGAATTCTGGAAAAAGGTTTGCGGTGCATTAAGTACAGACGAGCATGCATTCGGCAAGATCTTCTTCCGCCACAACCTAACAGTGGACGAACGCGAACGTGAAAAATGCCTAGGTTACACAAAACATTACTTATGCAAACACCCAGACTACTCAACATTGGAGGTACGTATCAAATGGAATATGGGTATGGTTGTGGTGAAGGACAGCACTGGGAAGGAGAGGAAGGTAGCATGGTATGACGAGGAGGGGGAATTGCATGCCACGGCGAAAGGGAAGGCTGTTGCAGAAAGAGGTGCAGGAAGCTATGTCCAAATGGCGCCTCAAAGTGAGACCAGAACCGGCCGCAGAAAGCGAGTGACGTTACGACGACACTTTTGGAAGTACCATAGCAAGTAATATGTGGGCATCTGGAAGGTCAGTTTTGGAAGGATTTCCCAGCACTCCCCTCTCGACACCTCCTGGGGGAGGACGGGGGGCTTCAACTTGCGAAGAGAGTGACTTCCCAACAGGATCTTGCAAACTTCTCAGGACTGTCGGTGAAGTTCGACATCATTCCGACCCGTCTGCTTCGACGACGCCTGCACAACCACGGACAGCAAATCACGAATCCCAGGGATCAAATTTAGATCTCGTAACCGTTCCCTTTCGTGTTGGATTTTCAGGGTCTGCATTAAATGATGATTTACAGGACGTCCCAGCCGAACGGCTCTCAACACCATTCCGGACAACACGTGCGGCTGGGGGTGGCAGGGGGAAGTATGGAAATGTTCCCGGGGATGTCCCTCTATCTGTCAGGTGCGCCCCATCCGTGTCTCAGGATATCGGCCATCCAAGGACAATGGTCGACTTTGGCATCGACAAGCAGGACAACTGCCCACCGACTGCGGCATCTCCGACTCCAGCGTCACAGGATCTCCGGCTCCAGCCTCATGAGCATGTACTGGTCTCCGACTCCAGCTCTCGCCTCCCGCACCCTCCGTACCTACCCCGGCCATTCCCGACTCCCGTGCCAGAGGATGTTGAATCAGGCAGCGGACTGAAGGTACCTCAACCAGGGCGGCATCAGCAAAACCGATGTCTTTTCCGAGCTGAGCGTGTTTCACCAACGACAGCTCCCTTTTCCAACCTCCCACCTCCGTTGCAGATGTCCCCGGCTCTAACCAATGCGGCTGTGGAGTCCCAGGGTCCGACCTCTACTACTCCAGCCTCCGACCTCCAACCTCTACCCTCTACGATTCCGAAGTACGTTTCGCCACACGCTTCTCATCAAACTCAGCATTCCGACCCTTGCTTCCGCCTCACCGCCCCCGGCTTTCATATCGTGGATTCGGACTGCCGCCCAGATGCGGCGGATAGTGAAGGTCATCATGCTCCCCGGCTTCATGTCCAACTCGACCGAGGAGGGGGAGGAGGACGACGTGCCTACAGTGTCATGTCTGGCGACGTTCCGGCATGCATTTTACAGCACCGGTGCAGCACACAGCGTATTCCAGCACGAGCTGACACACATACATCGCCGCAGGCTTCGGACACACTGGAGGCGCACGGCATCGCTCTTCCGACTCCGGAGTTATGGTGTGAAGCTCTCCCGGAGGACCTCCAGCCTCCACCATTCCAGCAATCCGACCTCCAGCCTCCAACACCTGACCTTCCAACCCCACTTCCACCGATCGACCTCCAACCTCCACCAGCACAGCATGCCAACATCCAGCCTCAAGCAACCGACTTTCCACCTCCACCTCCACCTATTGACCTACAGACCTCACCAGCGCACCGCTCCGACATCCAGCCTTTAACATCCGACTTTCCAATCACACCTCCACCTCCACCTATCGACCTCCAACCTCCAACCTCCACCAGTTCAGCATTCTAACCTCCAGCCTTCAACCTCCGACTTTCCACCGCCACCACCACCTATCGACTCCGACTTCCCACCCCTACCTCCGACTATCGACCTCCAGCCAGCATCGACTCAACATTCCGACTTCCAGCTTCCAGCAGCAAACTCTTCACGTCCACCTCAAATCGTCGACCCCAAGCCTCCTCCAACTCAACATTCTGACGTCCAGCATCTGACATCCGACCTCCTACCTGTGCCTCGATTTATCGACCTCCAGCCTCCACAAGTGCAGCATTCCGACCGCCGGCATCCAACGCGCAGAGGAAGAGGAGGAGGATGAAAAGCTTACAACGACGTGTCCGGCGACGTCCCGCCCTGCATCCTCCAGCAGCGGTGCGCGAAATCCGACTCCAGCCAAACCAGGCCTGACACCCAGTACGTTTCATTACGCTCTCCAGTCGACCTCCAAACACCCAGTTCCGACACTCAGAATCCACCACCGCCCATCTCCAGCTTTCGACCTCCGCCCTCCGACTCACAAATTCAACCAATTGACCTCCAGCCACCAAGCTCCGACTCCCAACATCTACCCCCGCCAGCCCCCAGCCTTCGACCTCCACCCATCGACGTACAACCTCAACCAGTCCACCTTCAACCACCAAGCTCCGGATCCCAGCGCCCACCATCATCCACCTCCAGCTGTCGACCTCCGCCCACAGACTCACATCCAGCATCGGACTTTTCACCTCCACCTCCACCCATGGACCTCCAGACTCCACCAGCGGAGCACCCTGACTTCCAGCTTCCAGCATCCAACTTTCAACCTCCATCTATCACAAAAAATATTCGTGGATTGGTTTCTGGGGACAGGGTCATAGAATTATACACGGATCTCAACGACTTACAATGGGATGCTATTACATTGAACGAAACATGGAGAACCGATGATGAGGAATTCTGGACAACAGATGGTGGTCACGCATATTTGGGATCAGGGCTCAAAGACTATCAGCGTGGAGTCGGCATCATGTTGCACCAAAGATGGGTGAGGCATGTTGTTTGTTTCAATCCCATTAATGAAAGGATAGCGTATGTGGATATCAAGAGAGGTTCACTCAGACTGCGAATCGTCAGTGCGTACTTTCCTCACAGCTTTTATGGCGACAAGCACGTTCAAACCATGTACGATACGCTATCCCAGATTTGCCAAGAAGCACATTCAGCACGTATGATGACCATCGTCGGAGCCGATTGCAATGCACGTGCTGGGCATTGCGCGCCGGACGATGCAAGGTGTACTTTGGGCCGGCATGGGATAGGCCCAATGAGCGTACGAGGACAGTGGTTGAAGCAATGGGCATCCAACCAACGACTCCGGCTTGCAAACGCATTCTTTCACAAGCAGGTGGATAAGTTGATCACGTATACATCGCCTCAGAAAGCTGACAGTCAAATCGATCATTTCTTAGTTAACAAAAAGATGTGGCGAATGGTCCAAGATTGTGAGTCGACCGCCGATGTCGACATGGGATCTGATCATCGCGCCTTGCGTTTGTCATGCGTGGTGAGAACCACCCACAAACAGCGGACGACGAACAGCACACGACAGCAACGCCATCCACGACCAACACGGCCCCCATCCGACACGAAGCAGTATCAACAAGCACTCTGTGAACAACTCGACGTACTGCTGGCGGATA